AGCTGCTCTGCCTGGCACGCTCAGATCTGGGATGGAGGGAGGCTCGGCTTGCAAATAGCATGTTAGTCCCTCATTTCTCTGGTCTCTTCCCATCAGCGCACTTCTTGGTTTGGCCTGTTCTTTCCATCTTTCCTGGGGAAAGCCTTAAACGTTCCTGAAGCGCTGCTCTGTTGGTGGGGTGGCTACTCTCGGTCTCACTGCTGCTGCACTAATAAACCCTTTCACTTTATACTCTAAAAAAAAAAAGTTTCTAAAGAATGACCTCAAATAGAAACCAGAGGGTACAAAAATACCCCATTCCCAGAGGTGGGGCTAAAGGAGAGAGGAAGGGAGGGGGAAACATCGATGTGAGAGAGAAGCACCAGTCCGTTGCCTCCCATGTGCACCCCAACTGGGGATCGAACCCACAACCTAGATACGTGCCCTGACCAGGGATCAAACCTACCGCCTTTTGGTGGTGCCTGGGATGACACTCTAACCAACTGAGCCACATGGCCAGGACTTTCCAGACGTTTTAATGACAGCCCTTAAAATGAGAGAGAAAGGAGGAGCTTGATTGGGACACATAAACACACACACACACACACACACACACACACACACACGAAGAAGAAGGAAGAGGAGCAGGAGCAGGAGGAGGAGGAAGAGAAGAAAAAGAAAAAAGAACAAAAAAAAAGCTAGCTGTGGGAGAGTATTTTTGGCCTGCTACTGAAAAGCTTTAGAGAATTTAGAGCCCAAAGCATCCATTATTACCGATGGCAGGTTGATGGCTTAAGAAGAAAGGGGATTTTAGGTCAGGGACATCTTGTGCAAAACAGCCTGTGCTTGGGCATTAGCAGATAAGGCAGACAAATAATGGATTGCAACAGGAGGAACTGGCCTGTGAGGTGGCCCTCACCCCCTTCCCCTCCCCCCAGCTGCCCTAGGGAACAGACCTGATTTGTGTTTCGGTCTTGCACTCACCTGCCCTTCAGGCAGCAGAGTGGCCAGAGGTATAAACGCAGCTCTGTGGCCTGCTGGGAGTATGGCCTTCGGAGTATTCCAGTTCTCCCCTGACGGTTTTCCATCGCCTCTCAGACCCCTACTGACCCTTTCTGGAACTTACCGCAGTGCCTGGGCACACCGTAGATGTTCGATGTGTGTTGGATGAGTTGATTCAGACTGGCGACGAATTTGGAGGAAAAGACAAAGAGTGGAAAATAAGGGGTGTTCCACTGCTTTGCGTTCGCTGGGGTTCTGTCCCCATCAAGCAAGGGCGTCAGAGGAGAGGGCTCAGGGCCTCGTGGCCTCAGGTTGTTTCCCAGGCTCTCCAGTTGGCTCAGGGCCCCAGTGGAGCAGCCGAAAGGGCGCCATTCCCCCTGAAGTCTCTCTTCATTAATAACAAGCACAGCTAAGTGGCAGTTGCACACTTAGGAGTAAACCACTCTGATGTTGCCTTCCAGAGCAGAAGTGCTTCCCCTCGGATTTCAGTTTTCCACCGGCAGAAAAAGCCAGGGCTGTTTTGCTTGCAGCAAAACCATTTTGTTTGGTGGCAGGAAGTCCTGTGATTTATCTCGCCAACTTCCCCGAGGATGCCACCTGGCAGCCACACACACACCGATTCCTACCTCTCAAGCTCTCACCCAACGGCCCACAGCTAGAAGCAGTCCCTGGGACAGAGCAGAAGTAACGCGAGAACTGTGGTTAGGGCTGAACACGTGTGTCAGTCTGGGAAGAAGCATAAAAACTAGGCGCTTGTTACTACAAGGAGGTTGGTGGTATACAAGTTCTTATCCCTCGTGGGTGGTGGTGTGGTTAGTGACTAAGCATAGACTATTTGTTTTAATTTTTGTGTGTGAAGGTAAATTATTTACTGGGAACTGTCAATGGCTATGTTAAAAGGGCCACATGAAGGATATCCAAGAAGGGTAATATTCTAATAATGGACAGTTAATTATATCTGGTGTAATTTTTGAAAAAAATATGGTATCCAAAGGACGATGAGAATGCATTTATGTCAGCATCTTTTTTTTATAATTAATACTTTCAGAACACATTTTATTTATTTACTTTTAGAGCAAGGGGAAGTGAGGGGAAAAGAGAGGGAGAGAAACACCTATCAGTGCCCCTTGCACGGACCAAACCGACAACCCAGGCGCGTGCCCTGACCAGGCACTGAACCTGCAATCTTTCAATTTTCAGGACGACACCCAACCAACTGAGCCACACCAGTCAGGGCATCTTTTCTGAGGAGAGAGAGTAGTGTCGATGTAAAAGCCATCCAAACCTGCAGAGAGTTGTTATGAGTTTATTTGAGCCCAGACTGACAGTTGCCAGGAAACAAGATCTCAAATGGTCCGGAGAATGACAGTTCAGCTTCTTTTATGCATTTGAAATGAAGGAAGATCATAAGAAGGTGGGAGAAATGAAGGCAGGGATTGGATTAAAAGATTATGTGCTCTCTTGCGGGTGTATGCCTTTGAGGGATGTTCTGGCATTTCAAAGGGGTATTAACCTAGATGCAGGAACACTGGAGAGGGCTGGTTTGAAAACCTTTGGTTAGAGAAATTATAGGCCTGGGGCTTGACAACCCACTGTAACCTGCCCAGTTAGGAATTTATAATTTATTGCAGCACCCTTGGATGGATTCTTGTGCATCTCTGTTTAGGCTGTCAAATTATCAGTACCTATGTACTTATTTGTTTTCCTTCAGCTTCAAAAGAAATTCCATGGTGTTAAAAATTCACTTTGGAAAACATGCAGTTAATGGCATATGTAAATAACATTTAATACATTTCCCGTTCATATTTACTACTGAGATAAATATTCAATAATTTCTGAATAATTAGAAAATCTCTTACAGTCTTATACTGTTAATCTTACTACATGTTAGGGTTCTGTAGCCTTTTTTTCTTCTTCCCACAGAGCTTTTATTTTTAAAAATACTTTATTTTTCCTGGCTGGTGTAGCTCAGTAGATGAGTCACAGTGGTTCAGTGGATGGAGCTCGAGCCTGAGAACCAGAGTATCGGAGTTCGATTCCCAGTCAGGGCACATGCCTGGGTTGCAGGCCAGGTCCTCAGTAGGGGGCACAGGAGAGGCAACCACACATTGATGTTTCTCTCCCTCTCTATCTCCTTCCCTTCTCTCTAAAAATAAATAAATAAAATCTTAAAAAAAAATCTTTTATTTTAAAAACCTTTTAAATATAAAAAAAATGTCACCAACTTTATCAGAGGCAAAAAAAAACCTTTTAAATAACACTTTTAAAGACTTTATTTTTTATTTTTTAAAATGTTTTGTCTTTTTTTAAAAATAAGATTTTATTTAATTATCTTTAGAGGGGAAGGGAAGGAGAGGGGGAGAGAAATATCAATGTATGGTTGCCTCTCGTGCGTCCCCTGCTGGGAACTGGCCTGCAACTCAGGCATGTGCCCTGACTGGGAATCGAACTGTGATCCTATGTTTTGCAGGCCCGAGGTCAATCCACTGAGCTACACCAGCCGGGTCTAAAGACTTTATTTTTATTTATTTTTAGGGAGAGGGAAGAGAGGGAGAGAAACATTGAGATGCGAGAGAAACATCAATGGGTTGCCTTTTGTCTCCAACTGCGGACCTGGCCCACAACCCAGGCATATGCCCTGACTGTGACTCAAACTGGTCAACTTTTGTTTGCAAGCCAGCACTCAACCCACTGAGCCACACCAGCCAGGGCGCCACAGAGTTTTTAAAATAAAACAAATGCCAGCATTTTCCCCCTTCCAGTTACATATTAGAGGAAAGCAGAATATTAATATAATTTTTTTCAAGGTAAAGAAGCACAAAGAAAGGAAGTCAAATGGAATAAGCCCCCGATATCCTAACTCCAAACAGGCAAGTTGAGCGTGGAATCGAGGGCAGGATTTTCTATTCTATTCATTGGAAAGAGGAGGAGGAGAAAGGGGAGGCGTAGGAAGAGATCACAGGGTGCAGTACCGACTCCTCAGGAACCTAGAACCGTGGAGGCCGTAAAAACTGCTGCTCCAGGGTTTTCTCCTGCCGACGTTTAGCGCATGGTGAAATGCTGGATGAACGAGTCCAAAAGCGCAGCAGCATAATGTGACCCGAAGCCAAAAGCAGAAGGGTTGGGTTTCCTCCCTTTTGACTGATTATAAGACTTCTCACTTTGGGGTGCTTCGGTTTCCTGGTTCGTCACACAGAGCAGCGCGATGTGGGAAAATCCTCATGTCACCACAGAGCTACTGCAAAGGAAGAGGGGACCCCAAGTAGAGGTTGGGAGGCCCGAGCTTCTGACATAGGGTTCACAGCATAGCAGATGTTTGGGGGACAAGTTCTGAGAGGATTGAGGGTATTAGCATCATTAGCACGAGAAGAGTCAGGGGTTGAGAAGTGGTTTTTACAAGAGAGAAACTAGGTGGCATTCTGGGGACTCGGACTGAGGGGACCTATCGTTGACAAACTTTACAGTGACCATTGTCTCGGTCTTGGGAATGGCAATGTCAGGTTCCTCGCATAACTCTTATTTGGTCATCACCTAAACCCAATTAGAGCGAATTTTATTCCAGTTTTCAGAAGAGGCCTCCCAAGATTAATTCGACCAAGATCACTTAGCTAGATATTGGGTGTCAGTTTCCCCACATGTGAAATGAGTTAATAACAGAACTAGACTCCGTTGCCTGCTGGTTTGTTACAAAGTCGCTTGGGATAGTACTGAGACAAATACCTGGGGATATAGGGATCTATATTGTAAAGCAACTTTTGCTTTTCCCCCTTGCATTCGGGTTCATTTTTCAAGAGTTCTCAAGCGCAGGCGCGGGCGGGTAGCGACCGCTCCCTGGCGCCCTCTGCGCAGGCCACTGTCGCCCTCTGCCGACGCAGGGAGGGAGCGCGCTGAGTGGGCGTTTCCAGGCGCGAGAGGCCGCCATAAACAGCCTGGCCTGTAGAGGGCGCCCGCTGATGCGCAGCGTAACCCATTCGACCATCCCTTCCTTAAGCACTTCCGTTCTGATCTCTATTGTTCATCCGGTTATCTCCTAGAAGTTCCTGGTATTTTCAATTTACCGTAAACAAAAGGAATGTGCGCCGACCCGGAAATGAAACCTGGGGTCAGGCTGTAGCAGCCCCAAAAATCGTCGGTACGGAGGCGGGGGAAGCTGTGGCCATGGCAGTGGCTGTGGCCATGGCAGGGGCCGTAGCCGGGATGGAGATAGGCCCGGCGGAAGAACTCGCCAAACTCGAGTATCTGTCTTTAGTGTCGAAGGTTTGCACCGAGCTGGATAACCACTTGGGGATCAACGACAAGGATCTGGGTGAGTTCGGGGAAGTTCCTGCGTTCTCTGGCTTGAGCTTCGAGGGAAGCGGAAAGAGAAGTGGGGCTGAAGGGCTGAATGTGTTTGTCCGAATGAGTCTTTCTCTGTCACAGAGACTTGGGCAGAGGGAACCTGCGGCGGTGGCCTCCGCTTGAGAGCCCTCCAGGCAGAGCTGTGGGTGAAAGAGCGGCCATCGCTGCTTGCTTCTGTTTTTAAGCTTCTGTAACTCCAGATAATTAACCAGTGTTAACAACAATAACAGCAGTCACGTAATGGTGATGGTGATGGTGGTAGACATGATTCTTCTTGCATCAGCTGCTTGTTGAGTAACTTTAATTCAAAGTAATTAGTATACCATTGTGGGGTACCTTGGGGCAGCCTGCCCTGCGCCCCAACACTGCCTGCCTGAGAGGGATGCGGTGCAGATCAGGGGACAATCCGTGTGGAGCACTGAGCATAGGTCCTGGCATGTAGTACATAGTTAAACGGTCTTAACCGGCGACACTGTTGTTACTAACTTATGTCCATGTAGCCTGACCCGATGGCATTTGGCCTTCACTTACTGCCATCAAAAGGGTAAAGGCAAATTCCAGCGCGGAAATGGTATGATCGGACTAATTTATGTTCGTTATTCATGTCGTTATTTGTTAGGGTTAAATCTAGATTAAATCATTCAGATTTCCTTGTGAGACTTACAGTTGTGGTTTTTTTTTTAAGATATTATTTATCTTTAGAGAGGGGGAAGGGAGAAAGAGGGAAACATCAACGTGTGGTTACCTCTCAGGCGCCCCCTACTGGGAACGTGGCCCACAACCTAGGCATGTTCCCTGATTGGGAATCACTTTGGTTCATAGGTGGGCACTCAGTCCACTGAGCCACACCAGCCAGGATAAAACTTACACTTTGAATGGTCTCTCAGCCTATCATAAAATGCACTTCTCTCCTGAAAATCTCTTAATTAGTAAGTAGCTCTAATATTATAAGTTTCAAGAACTAGGCAGGTTTGCAGAGAAAGATTTTGGGGTCAGGTTTGTCATTTGTCAACTTGGAGATTGTACCATCCAGCAGGTGCCTAGCCCTCATGTGTACAATCTGGCTCTCCAGAAGCTGTAGAATGCATCCTATGCGTGTGTCGTGTGTGTGTGTGTGTGTGTGTGTGTGTGTATGTGTGTTGCATAGGCTTATGCTTTTGGATATTGTTGCCTCTGGCTAGTGAGCTAGTAGTTTCATGAGAAGAGATTACCGTGATATGGGACAGTAAGGTCTTCAGCCCTTAAATTCACTCACAGGTCTGGTGAGCCATTTGGTAGTTATAGCTTTTCATTTATGAAAACTCACTAGAACAAGAGTAACTTTTTATTTACTTGATGGGATGTTGCCTGATTCATGAATCATTCAATAAAGCCAATTAGATCTTTAAAAAAAATAACTAGGACGTATGTGGATAATCTGTCTCAGTAGTCTAAATTCTCTTTCTTCACCCATAATGAACCATGGTCTTTGGCTTTTATGACTTGTAGCCTAATTACTTTCATTCATAGCATGCTTGGAACTGATTTTTTTGCTCAGGTCTCCATTCTTCTTGTTTTAATCCCTTTTCTCATTTGCAGCTGAATTTGTGATCAGTCTTGCTGAGAAAAACACCACCTTTGATACTTTTAAGGCTTCCCTTGTGAAAAATGGTGCAGAATTCACGGTGAGTATGTCTGGAGACCCCTGTTCTATTTCAATGTCACTATGAGATTTTAGTTTTCATAGGATTTAATTAGGGTTTTGATAGAGAAAGGAAACAACTTGTGCAGGCCAATCAAACACAACATTAAGTTTGCGATATTTTTTATTTCTGTATGTTTCAGTAACAGTTTCATTTACTGTTACTCTGTGTCGGTTTCAGATGTACAGTGGTTTGAGTACTGACTGAGTGTGTAATGTTTTTGTGTCTCCAAACGTGGTGGTGTCTCTGGATTTCCTGACACCTTTCCAGGAAAGCGGAGCAGACAGGAGTAACTACCCTTTTCTAAAGGACACCCCTTTCCTTAGTGTTTTTAAGCACTGACCCAGGGGCTGACAATTTTTGCTCTGTTTCTTTTCAAAGGATTCCCTTATTAGCAACTTGCTGCGTCTCATACAAACCATGCGGCCTCCAGCAAAGCCTTCCACTAGCAAAGGTGAGCAGTTTCCACCCGAGCTTCGCCTCCTGAATGGTGTAGACCGTCAGCGTTCCGTTTTTAGTTTGACGTACATCTAGGGTCGAAGTTCTTTTATTAACCGTTAAGAATATTGTGTTTGTTTCTCTTGTAGCAGCTGCTGAAACAAGTAATTGTTTGAATAAATTTTGCAAAAATACTTTGTTTTCAAGTGTTTTAAGACAAAATTAAAATAGTAAGAATTATAAGATGTAACCAACCAAATGAATATTGGTGCACCTCCCCGTGCTTACATAGGTTTTTGAGGATTTTGTATTCAGTGCTTTTTTAGAAAGTTAAAGTATGTTTACAGTAACATGTATGAGTTAAATGAGTCATGTATAGAAAAGTTCCATGTTCTGGTTTTAGTTTCATGCAAATATAATGTCAAAGTTCATTTGTTAATTATTAAGAATGTTAAATAAATGTATATATATATATTTATTTTTTTTCATTCCTTCATGCTCTTTGATGAAATAAGATCCGGTTGTTAAACCCAAAACTGAAAAAGAAAAGTTGAAGGAACTCTTCCCTGTCCTTTGCCAACCGGACAACCCCTCCGTGCGGGTGAGATGCCTTTTGAGAATGTCTGTCATAACTGCATGTTCCCCTCGCCCTTTTCTCAGTCTCATTAGCTACAAATTTTTTCTTTTTTAATTAGTTATTAATTTCAAGTTTATCTTTCTTGTAACATATTTCTTTTTTTTATTATTAAATCTTAGAGGGGAAGGGGGAAGGAGAGAGGGAGAGAAAATCAATTATGTTCCTTTGTGTTCCCCTGGCGTAACATATTTCTTGAAGCGAAAGTGCGTGACCACTCTCTGAGTGCGTACGTGTAGAACAGTGTCGGAGGGTTCGGAGAGCGATAGTTGAGGGAGATGAGGTTAGGACTTGTGGGAAGCAGGACTGGGTACATGAAACAGGTGTGAGTGAGTTAAGACTCTGGGAGAGATACCCAATGTGCGAAGTAGGGTATTTTTGTTCCATTTCTTGTTGGAAGTCCGATTTTGGAAATGCTCTGGTTTTTAAATTCCATTTTTGCAAGTACTCATTGGGTATCTCCTATGAGCCAAGCACTGTTCTAAGTACCAGGAATATAGCAGTGAACAAAATAGATTAGAGTTTCTGCCCTCTTGGAGATTATTATATTCTAGTACTGAGGCGGAGTTAAGAAGTAAACACATAAACACCTCTAGCAGAGAGGAGACAGTCAATAAATAAGTAAGTAAGTATAGAATATAGCTGATACTGATGAGAAGTATGAAAAAAATTAGGTGAAAAGGGAGAAGGAAGCACAGAGAAAGTTATTTTTTTAAAAAAAGTATTTTACTTATTTAGTTTTAGAGAGAGATGATGGAAGGGAGAAGGAGAGGGAGAGAAACATTGATCGGTTGCCTCTTGCACGCACTGGGCAATGAACCTGCAGCTCGGGCATGTGCCTTGAATGGGGAGTGAACTGTTGACCTTTTGCTTTGCGGAAGGGGAGGCCCAACCAACTGAGCCACACTGGTCACAGTGGGAGAGTTGCTTTTTAAAAATGTTAGCATCTATTTTCTGTTTGTAATCATCACCTGCGTGCTTTCACAGAAGGGGTGACATCTAATTTCCTCCCTTCACCTTGTATTACGGACAGAGGGGATCTGCCAAATGGAGAAACGACCGCCAAGAGCCTTTGTCCGACCCTCTGCCTCTGTCTTAGGTTGTGTTGGAAAACTCCACCCCCTTCTGCTTCCTTCACAGAAGTGGTCAGCGATGTAGGGGCTGGATTTGTGGTACCCGAAGTACAGATTCTTTTTTTTTATTTTTTATTTTTTTAAGTGTTTATTTGAACCAAACTCAGGTCAGTGTTGGGAAGTAAGATCTCAAATGCTCCTGAAGCACAGATTCTTGAGTGATTTTTTTTTTTTTTTTTTGAGTGATGTTTTTTGTCCCATTCTCCTCCTAATCTCTTTGCCTCCCGCCTCTGCAGACCATGCTGGATGAGGACGACGTGAAAGTCGCTGTGAATGTCCTGAAAGCGCTCGAGGCTCTGATGCCCAGTGCAGCCGGCCCGGAGAAGCCACGGGACGCCGAGCACCGGTCCGTCCTCGCTGTCCTGTCCTTTGGAAGTTTCGCGTACTCTGACAGTTGAATTTTGTAGGCCAGCCAAGCAAGATTTTAGGCCAGTTTATAGAATCTGGACTGGCCATTATCATATTGTTGGATCTCTTTTTTGCTCTCTGTCAAGAGTATTTACGTAGCAAATGCTAAGATGTTTAGAAGATAGAAATCTAAATATGTTTATGGCCTCATTCTTATTGACCTGCAGGGATGTCATAGTTATTGAAGCTCTAATTCAGTTTTAAGTCTTAGAAGTCACTTAAGCATGTGCATGGCACCGTGCTGGGTGCTTGGGGATGCAAGAAATTGGGTGGATTTCTTTTTTAACCAGGTGTTTCTTGATTTACTAGAGACAAGACAAAGAGGAAGAAGCGGAGTCGGAGTCGAGAGCGAGAGCGGGAGCGTGAACGGGAGCGCGACCGTGACAGAGAACGAGACCGCGATAGAGACCACAAGCGGCGACACCGGTCCCGCTCTCGATCACGTTCCAGGACCCGGGAGAGGAATAAAGGGAAGTCTAGGTATCGGTCCAGGAGCAGAAGTCAGAGTCCCCTCAAAGACCGGAAGGACCGGGACAAGTATGGAGAGAGGAATCTGGACAGATGGCGGGACAAGCATGTGGACCGCCCTCCCCCAGAAGAGCCTGCCATCGGGGACATTTACAATGGCAAAGTGACCAGCATCATGCAGTTTGGATGCTTCGTGCAGCTGGAGGGCCTAAGGTAATGGCCGGTGTCTTCTTTCACACCAGCGGTGGGCACACCTTATCGCCGGGGATTTTCACACTCCAAAAAGTTAGTGTGATTAGTGATACTTTAATCACATTGGCCATATCAGGTTATTAGAAGCTGACTTAATCTTTGAAGTGGCATAGAGCCATTTATTTTTCCCTCTGCCTTCAGGAGTTCTGCTCTTTTGCGACAGATCAGAATTTGTCGTCATCCCCTCCCTCCCCCACCCCACGTCTTTGGGACGGAGGGCGGTAGCAATATAATGCTTCTCTGTTGTCTGACCACCTCCTTGGTACTTTTCTTTTTAGTTTAAGACCCTTTCCATTCGGTCAGGCTCAACAGGGGTGGGAATCTGTTGGGGAAAAGGTATTTTAGGCATGCTCCAAAGGTGTCTGCCCCTCCCTCAGGAAGCGCTGGGAAGGCCTGGTGCACATCTCGGAGCTCCGGCGGGAGGGCCGTGTGGCCAACGTGGCTGACGTGGTGAGCAAAGGCCAGAGAGTCAAGGTCAAAGTGTTGTCCTTCACTGGGACCAAGACCAGTCTGAGCATGAAGGTAGGTGAGACGTGCAGCCTGTTACCACGTCTGGTGGCCCAGGAGACACAGAGACAGCAGGGGAGCTGGCCTCCTTGTTTTTGTGCCCTAGGATGTGGATCAAGAGACCGGAGAGGATCTAAACCCAAATCGACGACGAAATCTCGTTGGGGAGGCCAATGAGGAGACCTCGATGAGGAATCCGGACAGACCCACTCATCTCTCCCTCGTCAGTGCCCCCGAAGTGGAGGACGACTCCCTGGAGCGCAAGCGCCTCACCCGCATCTCCGACCCCGAGAAGTGGGAGATCAAGCAGGTGGGCCCTTCGCTCTTGCCGCGGAGCCGTGTGGCGCGGTGGCTGGGAGAGTGGGCCCTGGAGCCTGATGGCCGGCTGCATCCTGGCTGTTTATTGGCTGTGTGGTTCTGAGCTAAGGTACCCCACATCTGTGTGCCTCAGCGCACTTGTCTGTGAAAACAGCCTTGTGGGGATTGAGTGAGTTGACAGAAGTAAAGCTCCTAGGTTAGTGCCTGCATCTGGTCATGCTACGTAAATTTTTGTTCTTGTTTTCATCACTTATCAGTAAACATCCGAGTCCCAGGTACTATATAGGTGCTACAAAGACCGAAGTATCACGGTCCCTGCCTTTGAGGAACTCCAAGTCCAGTGGCGGAGACAAATTGAAATAAAACACTGTTAAGGTTCACAGGTTACATAGTAAGGCACGTGCAGAGAGCCGTGGACCAGGGGCAGGAGCGGAGTTAGACGTAGCTCTCCCTGGGGAGGAGGCGCTCGAGCCGCGGGCAGCATGTTGCCTTGCTCCCCAGGGTGGGAGTTTTGATGTTTGGGCTCTGCGGACCTGGTCACACGAGGAAAAACCTGGGCTTCCTACACTAAACCTCTGTGCTGACTCTCTTCCCAACCAAGCGTTTTGATTCTAGCAAGTTATAAACGCTGCCTCTGCCCTTTGACTAGATGATTGCTGCCAACGTTCTCTCCAAAGAAGAGTTTCCAGACTTTGACGAAGAGACCGGCATTCTTCCGAAGGTGGACGACGAAGAAGGTGACCAGCCGCTGGGCTCGGGCAGGGTGACGGGTCGGGAGGCGGTTGGCAAGTTGGGCCGTGGGATGAGGGGGTTTATTTGTGTTTTAATCCGGGGGTTCCGAGTCACCTGTTCCTTGGGTGTCACCGCTCATCAGAGCACAAGGGTTGTTTCCGTGACGGAAACAAAGATTCACCTTTACGGCAAACGTCTGTGTGTGGTTACGCTTGTTGCTTGTGTTTCCAGGATGTAAAAAGTTATATTTTGGGGACTAAATTTGGTCTCATATTCTTAGTAATTATTCTGAAAGTCCTGGGTCCACCTAGATTACTTCTGAGTTGCCCTGGAAACAGCTTTTATTATTTTTTAAAATTTATTTATCTTTTTGTATTTTTTCCATCACCGTTTATTCCCCCCATTATCCTCTTCCATCTCCACCTACCACCTCCCACAAGGGAACAACTTTTAACTCAGTCCATTAACAATTTAAAAAAACTGTGAAGTAAACTGTATAATGGAGCGTGTATAATGTATGCAACAGTGATGAACAAACACCTAAATGAGCATCTGCACGCCTGCCGTGAGGAGGGCTGTACCAGCGCCTCGCAGCCCCTCCGTGCCCCCGATTGATCTCTCTCTTGCTCCTCTTATCCTAAAAGCTGTGTTCGTCATCTCCTCACTCTGCCTCAGCGGTCTGCCATCTATGTATTTGTCCCTAAACAGTAGTCTGTTTTTGAACCTAATCCTCTTGATTCATTATCATTCTTTTGCTATTTATCTGTGTTGATTTTGTAGTTGCATTTCTCTTGTTTTCATTGCTGTAGCGTGGTACTCTACATGAGTTTACCATAATTAATCTATTTTACTTTTGGTGGGTATAGGGCTGTTTCTGTTTTTTTGTTTACCATTATGGACAATACTATCATAAAGTTCCTATATTTGTCTCTTACTGCACATGTGCAAGACTTTCTCCTTCTCCTCCGTGTGTAGAAGGTTACTGGCTGGTAGGAAGTGTGTGTGTTCAGCTTTACCAGGCAGTGAGAAACGTTTTCTAAAGCCTCGGTACCAATTTACTTTTCTACTCTAAGTGTGAGTGACGTCCTGTTGCTCCACATTCTTGCCAGCATTTGGTATAATCCCACTGTCCAACTTAATTTTTTCTTTGCCACTCTATTGTGGGTTAAGAGTAAACTCTGTTACTATTATTGATTGATTTTAGAGAGAGGGGGAGAGAGATAGAAACACTGAGTTGTTCCACTTACTGACGCATTCATTGGTTGATTCTTGTATGCTCCCTGACCTGGGATTGAACCTGCAAGCTTGGCATATTGGGGCAACAGCCTAACCAACAGAGCCACCCGGCCAGGGTAAGGGTAAACCCTGCGGTGAAGTTGGATGGCAGGTGCCTTCGTGCCATCCAGAATGTCAGAATGGCGTTTTCCCACAGGCTTAACTTGTTTTGACAGTAGCTCTGATTAGTTCTTGGGCTGGAGAGTCAGGGGAGCAGACGCCTGGGTTATGGTTTTCCGTGCACTGCTGTGCTTTGACCTTGGGAGCCACCTTCGAGAAACGTTGCTGGTGCTTATGGAAATTAATTATTCTGGTGAAAATAGTTGGTCACTTTGTTTTGGCTAATTGTTTTCTGGGGGACTTTTAGATGAGGACCTTGAGATCGAGCTGGTTGAGGAAGAGCCCCCGTTCCTGAGAGGGCACACCAAGCAAAGCATGGACATGAGCCCTATTAAAATCGTCAAGGTAAGGAACTCGGGGGCGCTGGTCTGGGCTTGTCTTCATGGGACGGTCCTGGTTTCCAGAGCAGGTCATCGGACCCTAGTGAGCGGGACTCGGGCCCCAGGAGGCACTATTGACTGTTGGTTAGGGCCTTGAATGTTTTTGTTTTGAAAAGATACCGACTTTGTTGTCTTTCGGCATTTTGATTATTTTGCTCTCATTTTAGTGGTTTTTTGGGGAGGAGGAAGCAGTGGTAAATGTGTGCTTGACCCACTGCTGTGGCCGTTGCCTCAGCCTTGGATCATTGCCCTGCGGGTTCAGAGGCAGTTTGGCAGGGTTCACGTGGCCAGTTGTTGCTGGCCCCTGAGAGAGCGGTGGCACCGGGTGTTGTGGGGGGCGGAGCTGTGAGAGGAGATGAAATTTTAGGCTCGGGAAAGGGGTAGCTTAGTGTCCCCGCCCAGCCCCCCACTCAGTGCTCATATTCACCCGTGAATCCTCCTACAGTGGTCCTCCATGTGGTCTTCTGCTTGACATTGCTGGTGACAGGGGACTCACCAGCGGAGGCTCGTTGCATCCTCAGGTGGAACTGACCATTAGTTCTTCTGGCGGAACTGAAATCTCTTACTGAAGTGTCCATTGGTCTTCATTTTAGTTCTTGGTCCATACAGAAGAATTTCTACCCCTTTCCTATATGTCCTGTCTTTCTTGGGGGGTCTCCTCTTTAAACCAGCCACCTCAGTTCCTTTATGATTTATCATGGTATTCGTTCATTTTCTCTGAATTCACTACCATTTATTTTTTTCATGTAGTCTGGTAAGTCAATATGAACTTTCTTATAGATGGGTCTCATTGTTCAGATTCAAATGGTTGAACACCTGCACTTTATCCCTGGACATTTGCTGTGTGCTGAGATCCATTCTGATGGTGCCGCTCTGCCCTGTGTGCTCTAGAACCCGGATGGCTCCCTGTCCCAAGCAGCCATGATGCAGAGTGCCCTGGCCAAAGAAAGACGGGAGCTCAAGCAGGCCCAGCGGGAGGCCGAGATGGACTCTATTCCCATGGGACTCAACAAACATTGGGTTGATCCTCTGCCTGATGGTAGGACCCTAGGAGGGTGTGGGCACTTAAAAAAAAAAATTAACCCGGCGACGTTTCAGTTTGCAGGCGACGCTCAGTCCGCTGGGCCACACTGCCCAGGGCTGTTTCTCAAACATGTTTAAAGTAAAAAATGTTTCAATAACCCTGGCCAAATTATTAGATTGGCTGAGTTTTTCTTCTAAGTAACTTAAAAATCATACAGCTTTGAAACCTCCTTTTTTATATAATTCTTTGTACAGTAAATATAACTGCTGGCAGATACAGTCATAACAAGCATTTTATTAGTTTATGTTAGGCCACTGAGGATACAGCTGTGAATTAGACACCATCCTTGCATTTATGAGGCTTACAATTTAGTGAGAATGATTATATATGTCCAATAATTACCAAATAACTAAGTCATGACCAGTGCCGCATGAAGAAGTACAGGTACTGTGGTCGGCTGTGGTGGGCCAGCTCCCTGGGAAAGCTGAGAACCAAAGGAGAGACAGGACTTAGTCCGTTAGTTAAAGGGGATCGGGCAGGATTAGGGAATGTGTTCTGATCCGGGCTGAAGTGCCGGGGCTGGGAGGTGGGGAAGGAGACCCGTGTGGCTGGAGTACAGGGCGCGCAGTGGGGGACGAGCGGTGGAAGGCCAGGACTTCGTAGGTGGTGTTAGGAATTGGGGCGCAATTCCGAAGTCCCCTGGGAAATGTTGCCAAGTTCTGAGCAGGGGGCACAATCAGTTGCATTTCCAAAGGATTTTGAGGGTGCGCTGTAGAATGGATTGGAGGTGGCACGTGAGATGAATTAGGAGGCTTTTATCCTAACGGTTCGGAGGGGAGAGAATGGTAGCTTGAACCCCGAGCTAACAAAGGAGGGGTGTACCGGAGAAATGGGACTGGGTGAATGTGGAGGAGGGGACCGTGGGGGAGCCTGAGGACAGTGCCAAGTTGCTTGTTTCCTCTGCAGCGGAAGGCAGGCAGATTGCAGCCAACATGAGGGGCATTGGGATGATGCCCAACGACATTCCTGAGTGGAAGAAGCACGCCTTTGGGGGCAACAAAGCTTCTTACGGAAAAAAGACCCAGATGTCAATCATTGAGCAGAGAGAGAGCCTGCCCATCTACAAACTGAAGGAGCAGTTGGTCCAGGTAAGAAGGCCCGTGTGGTGGGCGAGTCGGGGCTTTTCTAGAGAAGAGAAAGGTAACGTTTTAATTGGAATCCGTTGGACAGATATGTGCACATTTAAGGTGGCTTTTCCAAAGGGGATAGGGAAGAAAACCAGAACGTTTCCAAGTACTTTTAAAAATGGTATATTAGTGTACACGCTTTATTCCTACGAGGAAATAAATCTGCTTGAACTGGGGGGCCCTAGAGCAGTTTCGGGTGGACAGTGTCGTGCTGCACGGACCAGCGGCTCCGGGCAGTGAGCAAAACGGGTGCTCAGCCAGCAACCCCACAGAGGCCGGGCTCTGTTTCAGGTACTTATTTCCATTTTCTGGAGACCTGACTTTAAGACCGAGTTTCCTGAGGCATCTGAGTTTACTAGTGAATTTTCAGTGAGTGCTTTCAGTAGCGTCTCATATGTATATATGTATATATACATACGTAAGTAACACACAGACGTGACGTGTTTTATATGTACCGCGTGTTTCTAGATGGCAGCATGGTATATACTCTGCATTTGTCTTCTTCCTTAATGACATAGCTCAGAAATTGTTCCTTATTTATTATTATTTTTTAGTGCTCTTATGTGGATGTGCTCTGGCTTGTTTAAATAGTCCTTGTATTAGTTAGTGGACATGTAGGCCAGTGGCAACCCTTTGCTGTTATAAACTGTAAAAATGAGATGACAGTTGGGGGTGAGACGCTGGAGACTTGGGACTGACAGTAAAAAGGAGTCCTGTGTGTTCGTTTTTATTTAGTGTTGAACTCTAACTGTGTGCGTGTAGTACTTAAAAAAAGCTATGTATATATTAGGGAGGTTTGGGTGGTAATTTATGGTTTTAGCATCTTTTGTTTTTATGAATTTAAGAAAACTAATAAATTAAAAAAAATGTTTGAGTCAGTTGAAAAAAGGGAACCATAAAGTTTAACATTTTAAATTTGAGTTATACATGCAATTAAAATAAAGAGCATTGTCCATAGGAAAATCATTATTGTTTTTTTCTGTGCACAATTAAAAGTAGTTTAAACCCTGTAATTTAAAAGTAATTTTACTACTTGTGTATTATTGTGTCCCCTTTTTCTCCTTTACTGTTAGAACATAAGCATTAGTTATTTCATTTATAGTAACGCGCGGCAAATTTTAATAACCATACCCGTATTCTGTTGCTTTCAGGCCGTCCATGACAACCAGATCCTGATCGTCATCGGAGAGACGGGGTCTGGGAAGACCACGCAGATCACCCAGTACCTGGCGGAGGCCGGCTACACTTCCCGGGGCAAGATCGGCTGCACCCAGCCCCGGAGGGTGGCGGCCATGTCTGTGGCCAAAAGAGTGTCAGAGGAGTTTGGGTGTTGCTTAGGCCAGGAGGTGAGTGGGAAGTGGAGCTGCTCTGTAGACGCCCGAAGGCACAGAGGCACAGGTCTCTGTCTGTAAAATGCTGACAGCGGGACCTCTTTCTCTCCTGAGGGAGAGGCAGTTCTAGTTCTCAGTGTTGATGTGTTTGGCATCAAGTCCAAAGCTGATGTTACTGTGAGGAAGTCACTGTACATCTTGGTTAAATTCTTGTCTGTTAAGGTTATGGGTAACGGTCCAGTTGGGCTGAAGTCTTGTCTGGGGATTGTGCAAGTGAGGGGTTTGTGTCCAAGATTCCGACTTCCGTTCCGCCTTAGGTGGGCTACACCATTCGGTTTGAGGACTGCACCAGCCCCGAGACGGTCATCAAGTACATGACGGACGGCATGCTGCTGCGAGAGTGCCTGATTGACCCCGACCTCACCCAGTACGCGATCATCATGCTGGACGAGGCGCACGAGAGGACGATCCACACCGACGTGCTCTTCGGACTGTTGAAGAAGGTAACCGGGTGCTCTGGTGACCCTCCGAGCTCTGGGGAACTGAATTCTTGGGTAGATCTTGTTAGTAAGACGCAGCATACTTTCCTTCAGACAGTTCAGAAACGGCAGGACATGAAGCTGATCGTCACTTCTGCCACGTTGGACGCAGTGAAGTTTTCTCAGTACTTCTATGAAGCTCCCATCTTCACCATCCCCGGTCGAACATACCCAGTAGAAATTCTGTACACGAAGGAGCCTGAGACGGATTATCTGGACGCCAGCTTGATCACGGTCATGCAGATCCATTTGACAGAGCCACCAGGTGGGGGCGAGAGCGTGGTTCCCTCCTAGGTCAGAGTCCTCGTGTGGGTATCTTTTTCACTCGGCTCTTTAAGTGTGTCAGGCTCGCATGCGTGAAATGACGGTGATGAAAATGTAAATCATGGTGTGCAGGGTTTAAATGCACCTATTTAAACACAGACACAAATTATAAATAAATGGAATAGACGTGGACAGATGAAAACCGCTTGGTTTATTAGAGGTCGGAATTTGGGTGTATTTTCTGTCATTTGGAGTCTGCTGATGTCCCTGTGGCCTTTGGATAGAACACACACACAGAAAGTAAGTCGATGCCCCTGTTCTCTTCTTAGGCGACATCCTCGTCTTCCTGACTGGTCAAGAAGAGATCGACACTGCCTGCGAGATCCTGTATGAGAGAATGAAATCCCTGGGGCCTGACGTTCCCGAGCTGATTATCCTCCCAGTGTATTCTGCTCTTCCCAGCGAGATGCAGACCCGAATCTTTGACCCAGCCCCTCCTGGCAGCAGAAAGGTAACCCTGGGCAGAAGCGAAGCTCCCTTGTGTTCTGAAACCATGTGGCGTGTGCCGCTGGCCCTAACGGGGACGGCTTAGACGTGTACAAGTCCTGTTTAGTATGTTCTAGAGACTGGTCCAGCCACTTTGTTAAGGAGTGAGGGTTTCCTACATGGCTGCTGCTCCTCTCCTCCTTTCCTCGAGGAAACAAATGTTTCTGAGCGTCTTCCAGGCTTCGGGGTGGACGCCAGGCCGGCAGTCCGAGGACTGGCCTCCCTCTGCCATGAGGCACCCCCCCAGCAGACAGGCCCGTAATGTACAGTGCGCAAGTGCGCTGGTGCTCTGGCTACCCAGGGGGCGAGCACCCAGCCCAGGACTCTTAGGGGGAGTAAGGATCTAAGCTAGTCTCGAAGGACGTGCGAGTGTTCACGTAAGCCAGCAGGGCAGAGGGGCGTGTGGTCTGAGTAGACAGAATGGCCTGCCACAGCCTAGAGGTGAGAGGCCGGGCTGTTTCAGGGGCGGGAACTGGCGGCGTGCGAATGGCAGGCGATGGCGATGGGAAAAGAGACAGGTGGGTTTTCTTTAGGTTACAGCTTTATTGGGATACAATTTACATGCCACGCAATTTACCCCTTTAAAGTATACAACTTAGTGTATTCACAGAATTAAGCCATCATTAATTACCATTATTACTAGTAGTAATTAATGATTAATCACTGATCACTACAATTTCAGAACAGTTTCATCAGCCCCAAAAGAAACCCTGTACCCTTTGGCCGTCACTCCCCATTCACTCCTCTGCTCAGTCTGTGGGAACTGCCAGTCAACTTTCTGTCTCTCGATTTGCCTGTTCTGGGCGTTTCACATAAGTGGGGTCGTACGTATGTGGTCCTTGGTAACTAGCTTCTCTGACATAGCATGTTTTCAAGGTTCGTCCATGTCGTACCATGTATAATTACTTCATTTCTTTTTATCATCAAATAATGTTCTGTTGTAGTTCCATTTCTTTTTGTTGTCAGATAATACTCTGTTGTGGAATGTGGATGAACCACATTTTGTCTCCATTCATCAGTTGATGGGCGTTTGGGTTGTTTCCACGTTTTGGCTATGATGAATAACGCTGCTGTGGACACTTATTCACAAGTTTCTGTGTGTACGTGTGTTTTCCTTTCCCCAGGAATGGAAGACAGATGGGTTTGAACACCATGAAAGCATTAGACTGGACAAGGCGTAGTGGATGCCCGGCAGTGCAGGGGACAAGGGCGGGGGAGACGTCAGGCATGGCTCCCGGGCATCTGGCTCGGGCGGCTGCACGCGAGGTGGTGCTGAGGAGGGAAGCACGGAGGAGGAGCAGGTGTGGGGAGGGCGGTGGCGCCTCCTGTCTGTTCCATTTCTGACTGACTTCTTTTTGAGGGGCTCTGTCGCTCTGCGGCAGGTGGAAGCCTCTCAGGGCCAGGAAGGTGCTGGCACGGTGCGAGGTGTTCTGGCGTCTCCTAGCAGTGCTTTTTCCGAGCAATTGTGTTTTATTAGCTGAACCTCTGGGTGGAAGAGCAGTGGCAGTGCCAAGCGGAGACCAATAATCTTCTAGATCGCACACACTGCCGCGTACACACCAGCCGTGAAATTCCTCTGCTGCCTCGTGGTTCCTTTTATGATTAGGAAAAAAAACAACTCCCTCTTGTTCCACACACACAAACAGCCCATTTTGCAGTCCAGATGTCCCCGTGGGGGAAGAAAAATCTCATTTTGCACTGGCACATGTGATGCCAGGAAGTCTCTGCTTTCCCAGGGTGCTAGAAAATTAAAATTGTAGTAAGCGGCATTGGATGTAGAGAATGAGGTATGTAGCCATTTGCACCAAGTGAAATTGGCTTTGGCCCTGGCTGGTGTAGCTCAGTGGATTGAGCTCAGGCCTGTGAGGCAGGGGGTCACCGGTTCGATTCCCAGTCAGGGCGCGTGCCTGGGTTGCAGGCCAGGCCCCCAGTGGGGGACACATGAGAGACAACCACACATTGACGTTTCTCTCCCACTCTTTCTCCTTCCCTTCCCTCTCTCTAAAAATAAACAAATAAAGTATTTTTAAAAACCATTAAAAAGAAAGAAATTGGCTCTGATTGGCCTTTGCTTTTTTCTCTTCCACTTTTTCCTCTTAGGTACAATCCCTTCCCATCCCGCCCCCCTCAACCTGACCCTTAAGAGGAAGCCACCTCCCCTTCTGCCCCTTAGAAGCCAAACTGAGATTAAGTGCTATCTGACCCTGTGAAGGAGATGACAGCACACTCCCCTGGGGAGATGTTCGAGGTCAGAAGTCCTGTTTCCTACCTCAGGGCTGAACCTGGTGGGCTCAGTCCAGCCGCGCCCCTCTCGTCTGCAGGTCGTGATTGCCACCAACATTGCAGAGACGTCGCTGACTATCGATGGCATCTACTACGTGGTGGACCCTGGGTTCGTGAAGCAGAAAGTTTACAATTCCAAGACGGGAATCGACCAGCTCGTGGTGACCCCCATTTCTCAGGTGGGTGGTTTCTACCCACAGCTTTCCTGAAAGTCCTGGTTAGGGCCTTTCTGAAAACGCTTATGGTTTTGTATTTGGAACTTGGTCGTTTTCCAAGGTGAGCTTTTAAGGTAAGATACTGGGTGCTTTCATGAGATAAGGGAGATTTTTGTGTTGTTTTTAATCTTTAGAATAGTGTTTCAACATTAAAACAGCCCCATAAAATTTGAACTTAAAAAAGAGTTTGAATCCTGGCACCATACATTATCTAACATAGGTAGTAAGAACATGAAAAAAAAGATTTTATTTATCTATTTATTCTTAGAGGGGAAGGGAGGGAGAAAGAGGGAAACATCAGTGTGTGGTTGCCTCTTGAGCACCCCCTACAGGGGACCTGGACCCCAACCCAGGCATGTGCCCTGTCTGGGAATTGAACCTGCCACCCTTTGGTTCACGGGCTGACAGTCCACTGATCCATATCAGCCCAGGGCAGTGAGAACATATTTTTTAAGTACTGTACTTAGCCAGAGGTATTTGAGAAAGTAACAATTCATGAGGTGATAATGTGTTTCTTTGATAGTTATGGAATAATTTCCTGCCTAAATTATATTTAAAAATGAATAACCTGATTATCCTTCTTTGAGGGCAGTTTGGCCACAGTGTATCAAAAATCTAGGTCATCTCCTTAACCTAACAGTTCCAGTACCTCTGAAAGTGAGAAATGCTTGAATACGTATCTGAAGGTAACGCAAGAGAATGTTTACTGCGGCACTGTTTCTGTTAGAAGAAACCTGGGAAAATTCCCTCAAAAGGGAAGCAGTTTAATAAACACAGTGTGTCTGTGCCGTGCAGTGCAGTGTGGCGTTAACATGGGGGTGTGTGTCTATATTTAATGACATAAACGTGGAACCGTGATACATGTTTTGAAGGGAGTTACAGAAAAGCAGGCACAGCGTGACCCGATTCTTGTTTAGAAGCGGATGGTGTGCACTGGTGCCCGGGGTGCGGGCGCCTGCCCGAGACCGGAAAGCACGTAGTCGGAGCGGTGCTGCTGGTCCCTGAGCGGGCGGCTGAAGTGCACTTGCTTTCTTTGTACTGTTATATATTGTTTAGTATTATATATAACACTAAAAGTATTTTACGAGGCATGGATTACTTTCATAATTTATAAAAACCATCAGACCCTGGCTGGTGTAGCTCAGTGGATTGAGCATGGCCTGCAAACCAAAGGGTCACTGGTTTGATTCCCAGTCAGGGCACATGCCTGGGTTGCAGGCCAGGTCCCCAGTAGGGGGCGTGCAAGAGGCAACCACACATGATGTTTCTCTCCCTCTCTTTCTCCTTTCTTTCCCTTCCCACTAAAAATAAACATTTAAAAAGTCATCAGGCTACTTTCATTTTGAAATGTAAGTAATAGTGGCTGACATTTGCTACGTGCCCACTAAGTGCCTTAGCAGGCACTGCCCTAGGCACTTACATGCACTCGAGGTCAGAAGTCCGCCTCCTCCGTCAGGGCTGCACCTAGTTAGCTCGATCCAGCTGCGTCCCTTTCACCTGCAGGTTGTGTTGCTCCTTCGCTGGTAGATTTTATTATCGTCCTCATTTCACAGGTGAGACTGGGCACAGAGGGGTGAAGGGCTCACAGCTGTGGAGTCAGGGTTTGGATCTGGGCAGGCTGGCCCCAGCGCGAGTGCTCTGTACCTCTTCTCGGGTGGTGCAGGCAACTCGCTGGGGTGGAGAAGTGAGCTCCACGTGCCCTGTCCGATTTGGAGAGACGTCTGTGGAAGGCTGTGGGGTCTGCCCCGTGTGTGATTGCCGCCTGCCCCTGTGTGGTTCGTGACCTTTCACATCACATCCTCTGGAGCTGGCAAAAGAATTTGTAAATCCTAACACCGATTGTAAGACAGATGGTTTTGTCAAAAAATGGCTCTCTTTGGTTTGCTATTCATTGTTTCTTAGCAACCTATGGCTAAGCTACAGATAGATTTTTAAATTTAATTTAATTCTTTTAAAAATATTTTATTTTTATTTTTAGAGAGGGGGGAAGGGTGGGAGAAAGAGAGGGAGAGAAACATCAGTGTGTGGTTGCCTCTCATGTGCCCCACTGGGGACCTGGCCTGCAACCCAGGCATGTGCCCTGACTGGGAATCGAACCGGCGACCCTTTGCTTCACAGGCCAGCGCTCAATCCACCGAGCCACACCAGCCAGGGCTATATCATAATGATTTTTTTTAACAAAATCAATGTTATATTGTTTTTAACTTGCTTTTTCACCTATGTGAGTGAACATTTCTGTCTGGTGTTGAGTGTCTCAAACCTGATTTTTAAAGCGGCTGTGGTCATCATTGGTGTACGATGATGACTGTTTTATTTCGTTCCCTTAAATTTTTGGCTGTAACCATAGGAATAGCATTTTGTCATTTTATGCTTGTTTTATGCTTTGTCCGTTAGGTCATGCCAGTCTATTTTGAGGGTGTATTTCTGTGATCTTCATGATATTCCTTTTGTTTTCCTTCTGCATTTGTTTCACTTCAACAAACTCTCCAGAAATGTTGAGTGTTGGAGAGGGAATGGTAATAACCTTGGTAGTCTCGGAAATGGTCCTAAAGGAAGTGAAATAAACCCTATTTTGGATTTTGCCGGTAGTTAAGTGCCCCTCTTCTAAGGGATTTCCTGGGTAGGGCCGTTGAACGATGCTTATTAACAGACTCGCTGCTTTCGCATGCACACCCCTCTAGGCTCAGGCGAAGCAGCGCGCTGGCCGCGCTGGCAGGACGGGGCCAGGGAAGTGCTACAGGCTGTACACGGAGCGCGCCTACCGAGACGAGATGCTGACCACCAACGTGCCGGAGATCCAGAGAACCAACTTAGCGAGCACAGTGCTCTCGCTCAAGGTAGAAACCTCTTTCTGGAATGGGTTGGTGGGACAGTCCAGTCCTGTGCCTTAGTAAATGGATCTCCATATTATGAACCTCATTCGATACTTTAGTAGCCTCATAGAACCCGTCCCTTGGAGTGAAATGCAAATGGTTGTGGTCTGGGGCTGAGTCGGCCTGGCCTGTCTGCTGTGAACACACGTTTTTCTTCCTTACCATAATAACCAGCAGAATGTTTGATTATAAAAGATTTCGTTAGGATCATTTTCTGAAAGGATATTAGAAAAATCGAGTCAGTGCCAAACTGTGGACAAATGCACTTCCTTCATCCCTTTGGCTGTCAGATCCAATTCTGTTCTTTTAGAACGGGAAGCAGAACTCCCAGTCCAAAAACTTTGTATCAGTAGAGGTTTCAGACTGGCCCTCTGGGGTCTTGGTTGTCATTCTGAATCATTGCTCTTCCTCTCTCAGTCCCCAGTGAGGACCTTCATTCTCCTTTGGCAGGGAGAGCCACAAGAGTAATTTTCCAGATGATGGCACACCCCCTCCCTCCCCACCCCCGACACTGATGCTCCCCTGGAGCCCAGCGTTTTGCTGGTACAGCCTGCTCTGTCGTAATTTATTATTCATTCCCCGTGAGAGAGGCTAAAACAGAGCTTCAGAAAAGAACTTGCTCCACTCTCTGGAGTGCAGGCGGTGCTCTCAGCTGTGTGTCCTTGGCAAATTTACCTGCTCAGCTCTCTGTTCTGTATTCTCTCCGAAGGGCTATTGTTAGTATCTGTTGTGAAGATAAATGAGATAACGCAGGTGAAGACACTTGGCACAGTGCTTACTGATTGCTATCATTCCTTACAGTTACTACTCACACAATGAATGTTTATTGAACACCTGCTGTGTTTATGGTCATGATCAGTTTATGGGAAAGACACAGAAAGCTCAGGTCCTACCACATCACCCTGTGGATACACTTGGATAATGCAACATTCATTTTTTTTTTTCATCAAATTAGCTAACAAATGTATTGATTGCTTACTTCGTACCAGGCATGCAGATTCCACTGCATTGCTGTGGTTTTGTGTCCGTGTGTCTCACCATTATGAACTCTAAGAGCAGGGACAGTGTCTTAGTGATCTTCGTGTCCCTGCCACCAAATATGGTACGTGGCACTTCCCAGACGCACAGTAGAAATCGTGTGTGCAAGAGACAGGGCGAGCTGGTGTATCGTCTTATTATTATTTTTTTAATTATGGTAAAATACACAACACATTGCCATGACTACCTTTTTAAAATGCTGATTCAGTGGTGTTAAGTTCATGTGTTGGGCAGCCATCACCATGGTGCATTTCCAGAACTTTTTTTCATCGTCCTAAACAGAGAGTCTGTACCCATTAAACTAAACGATCCCTTCCTCCCTCCAGCTCCCGGTACTCATCATTCTACTTACTTTCTCTCTGAATTTACCTCATATAAGTGGAGTCAAACATTTGTCCTTTCGTATCTGGCTTAACTTAGCATGATGTTTTCAGGGTTCATCGTGTTGTAGCATCCTGTTAGAATTTCATTGCTTTTTGAAAGTAATACTCCGTTGTATGTATATACCATATTTTGTCTATCCATTCATCTATTGATGGATATTTGGGTGGTTTTTACCTTTTGGCTATTGTGAATAATGCTGCTGTGAACATGAGCGTATAAGTATCTGCTTGAGACCCAGCTTGCAACTCTTTTGTGTATGTACACCGGGGAGTGGAATTGCTGGGTGATAATGGTGACTCTGTGTTTAACTTACGGAGGTTTCACCAAATTGTCTTCCATTCCCACCAGCAATACATGACGGTTCCCATTTCTCCAAATCCTTGACACGGTATGTCTTTTTTTTTTTTTAGTAACCATCCTAGTGATATGGAGGGGTATCCCATTATGGTTTTCATTTCCCTAATTACTAGTTGTGTCGAGTATCTCTTCATGTGCTTCTTGGTTATTTTTATATCTTTGTAGAAATGTATATTAATGTCCTTTGCCAATTTGAAAGTTGTTGTCCTTTTTTAAACCCTCACCTGAGGATATCTTTATTGATTTTATTTGTTTACTGATTTTAGAGAGAGGGGAAGGGACAGAGAGAGTAAGAGAGAAACGTCTATCAGTTGTCTCCCACATGCGCCCTGACTGGGAATCAAACCCACAGCCTTTTGGTGAATGATGTTCAGACCAACCAAACCCCCTGGCCAGGGCTAATTGTTCTCTTTTTGTTGTTGAATTGAATGTACTATCATTTCGAGGGAGTGTTTTTTAAAGTTTCCTGAGAAAATATATGCTTTCTACTAGTCTGAGTTTTGCGTGGCCCGGCCCTGGAGGTTGCTCCTTATCTTGCCAGTGGCGTCCTGACTGCAGTTGAAGAAACCGGAAAGAAAGCGACCAGCGTCTCTCTCCCGGTTAACACTGGCCGGGCTGGCCCTCCCATCATCCCACACTTTCTTCCCTCCTGTTCTAGGCCATGGGCATCAATGACCTGCTGTCCTTCGACTTCATGGACGCCCCGCCGATGGAAACCTTGATCACAGCCATGGAGCAGCTGTACACACTGGGGGCGCTGGATGACGAGGGCCTGCTTACCCGCCTGGGACGCAGGGTAGGGGACACGCTTCTGGTGCTTCCGGGAAGCTTCCCCGGCCAGTTTTCCCTCACTTTTGTGCAAATCAAGCTCTGAGGCTCTGGATAAGCTTTGAGTACAGGTCTAAATATCTGTTTTTCACCTGGATTTTCCGCTGTCAGTTCAGACTCCTTCTTTACAGAAAAAGACATTTTATCCACAGTCAGTTTGACCTTGGCCTGTATTATTGAGTCTAGCCCTAATTTTTTAAACATTGATTTGAGAGAGAGAGGGAGGGAAAGAGAAATACCCGTTTGTTGTTCAACTGATTTATGCATTCACTGGTTGAGTCCCCTATGCAACCTGACCAGTGATCAAACCTGCAGCCGTGGTGTGTTGGGTTGACGCTCTGACTCACTGAGCTACCCGGCCAGGGCTAGTCTCATCTTAATTTTAAAAGATGTCTGCGAAATTTCAACCTACATAACAGTAGTTATGTTCTTGGTAACATATGTATCTTTCATTGGGATTTCTTTGGGAAATAAACAACAACATCTTCTGATAGAGATGGGTATCTCACATCATCATGCTTAGGTGAACTTCCTGTGTTGCGTCTGTTGCCCGCTCTGCCCGGTGTCTCCTGTTGGCAAGTCCAGATGGGTCTTCCACAAGGAAGAAATTGTAGTTTCTTCTTCTCCCGCTAGATGGCAGAATTCCCCCTGGAACCAATGCTGTGCAAAATGCTGATCATGTCTGTGCATCTGGGCTGCAGTGAGGAAATGCTGACCATCGTGTCCATGCTGTCTGTACAGAACGTCTTCTACAGGCCCAAGGTAGGGCGTTCGGACCCGTGTTCAGGTGGGGCTGCGGTTAAGCTGGTGAAATCAGCCATTGCCTGGGTGCTCCTCAAAACTGCTGGATGTTCACTAGTAGCTGCCGGGCAGAAAATGATCTCCCCCCACTGTTTGGCAGGATAAACAAGCCCTTGCCGATCAGAAGAAGGCCAAATTCCACCAGACAGAAGGAGACCATCTCACCCTGTTGGCTGTGTACAACTCTTGGAAGAACAACAAGTTCTCCAACCCGTGGTGCTACGAGAACTTCATCCAGGCTCGTTCTCTGCGCCGGGCCCAGGACATCCGCAAGCAGATGTTAGGCATAATGGACAGGTGACGTTTGGCGTCTCTCCCCACATTTCAGTTGAACTTCTTGAATGTCATGTCTGTTCATCTCCGCACATACCCGTGGAGCTCTGGACTCCTTGTGTAACTCTCTTCATGTAGCTTTTCCATCTTAGTTTTATTCCTCCCCATGCAAGGGTGCAGCTGAGAGTCACTTCAGAAAGTTCCTGAGAGGAAGATGATTTACTGTTGAAAAAATCCTTTGCTTATAAGCCTCTGGAACATTACTAGTCAAATCAAATGGAGTCTCTGGCTCTTACCGCGTCCGTCCTGTCACTGGGCAGGGCCACCTGCGTGTACCCAGGGCTGGCTGGGGTGCTGGGCCCCGTCACTCTGCCAGGCGGGACCTCTGGAAATAGTCTTGTCTCACATCTTTGTTCTCTCTTGATTTATTTTCCCAATAGACACAAGCTGGATGTGGTTTCCTGTGGTAAGTCCACAGTCCGAGTGCAGAAGGCCATCTGCAGTGGATTCTTCCGAAACGCTGCCAAGAAAGACCCGCAGGAGGGTTACCGGACCCTGATCGATCAGCAGGTGGTCTACATCCACCCTTCCAGTGCTCTCTTCAACCGACAGCCGGAATGGTAGGTGGGCAGGCCCCAGCCTGGGAGCCGTTCTCGGCAGAGAGGACCTGTGACTCTATTGGCACTCTGTGTTCGTGTCTTCAGCCCCGCCCCCCCAGCACTTCCTGTTCTAACATCGCTTATGATTCCAGGGCAGCAGAAGCCTGACTTAGGCACAGTCAGACCCTTTTGAGAGAGAGAACATCGTGGAAGGGAGAGCTAGGAAGGATCTTACAAATCATTTAGTGAGGTCGTTTAAAGAATTATTTTTTCAAGTAGCATTTTAAAAAAGTTGTGATCTTACTACCCTAATGTAAACTGGTTTAAGACCACTGGGCCACCATGGCAAAGGAAGAAGAGGTAGAGCCCTGCTGGCTTAGCTTTCCCCGTCTCCTCGTGGCAGCTGCTGAGGCTCCCCTGCTCCTCATCAGGGCCCCGGAGTTCCGCAGAGGCAGCCTGAAAAACCACCGTCCCGTTTTACAGAGCGGGAAGCTGAGGTCCAGGGAAGAGATGTGATTGGCTCTATGTCATTTAACTAGTGGGAGCCAGGCCCAGGGCACATTATCCTGGCAGCGTTCTGGTGGGTAGAGGTGTGCAGCCTCCTCAGTACTGGAGTGTGGCTGTATGAGGAGAGACTGCAGTCTCTTGAGGGTCAGGCAGGAGAGGTAGGAAGGTCAAATGCAAGCCCAGCCGTGGCCCACCAGGGACCAGGGTGACTGGAGTGGGCGCGTATCGGAGGCCTGAGCCTGTCTCTGTCCCCCTCAGGGTGGTGTACCATGAGCTGGTGCTGACCACGAAGGAGTACATGCGCGAGGTCACCACCATCGACCCCCGGTGGCTTGTGGAGTTTGCTCCTGCCTTCTTCAAGGTCTCTGACCCGACTAAGCTAAGCAAGCAGAAGAAGCAGCAGCGTCTTGAGCCATTGTACAATCGCTACGAGGAGCCCAACGCTTGGAGAATATCACGGGCTTTCCGGCGGCGCTGAGGGGCAGGACCTGTGTGCCTGTCCTGCAGCAGCGGCCCGCGGCTCGGGCTTGCCCTTGGTGAAATGCTGAGCCTGAGGACATGGCTCTCCAGTGACCCCGTATCTTAACTGGGCGCTTTCCAAACTTGATTTGCATTTCTTCCCTCGTGAAACGGGGACAGGGATTTATGCCTGGTTTGACAAGAGCCTTCAGCCCCCACTACCCTAAGTCACTGGGACCACCTGGGGCTCGCAGCCCTGGGATGGGAAACAGGGTTGCAGGCATCTGACAGGTGGACGCAGGGAGGACCCTGACTCCCTACTCGATTCTCTGAGGAGGAGGGAGCCATGAAGCTCGTTGGGAGTTTCGGCCCCATGTCTGCCCCTGTCCAACCCCCGTACTTCTGACCGACCTCCTGAAAATATTTATTTTCTTAAGGAAGCAAAAATGACTTTCCTTGAAGGTTTCTTTTAGCCAAAAGGTTAGGAAATCGGCCTGGGTTCAGGGTGGGGAGGTTCAGTATCTGTGGTGTTGGTGCCCATGGAGAGTCCACTGAGACCAGAGCCTAGGGCCTCTTTGGGCTGAGAGGCGACGCGCAGCCCAGACCCTGGTCTTGTCTTGGCACCTGTGCGAGGCCGGCCCTGCCGCGGATCGTCCCCCGTCCCCCGTCAGCCACTTCCACTGCACAGGCTCTCGGGTCTGCGCGGGCGCCCGAGTGGTTACAGACGTCACATGTCGACTGCGGAAGGCTCTCCCTGTCTCCTGCCCACCACACTCATCGTGCAGTGTATCCTGTTTCCTTTTGAAACATGTGAGTAACAACAAAGCTTTTGTTTGTTTCCCCTGAAGCCCTCGATGGGCTTTAACAAAGGGTTTTTATGGTCAGAGTCTGCGCTCCCCTGCCCCACTGAAAACCAACATAAGGCCTTTTGGAGCCAGTCTGTGCTCCCCAGCATCTGTGCTCCGGGTCTGCACCGAGTGGTTTGCCCCCAGCGTGCTGTTCGGGAGTAACCACCTCCCAGTGCCCCTTTCACAGTGTTTGGAGGGGCTGTTGACTGGGAAGAACAGACAGGTGCTGCCAGGCTAGGTTCTGGGATGACTGGTGAGCTGTTGGAGACTCGAGGCTGGTTTAGAAGCCCCCTGGGGAACGGAGCACATTGTATGTTCACGGCCTGCACTGCGTCCCCCATCCCCATTCTAGGAAGTTCTGAAATGATGTAAAAACTGGAACTACCATAGAATTGCACGCCAGGCACTAAGACCATACGGCGTTCTAGGAAATGGAGGAGTGTAGGCTGTCATTGGGCAGCAGACAAACCACCTCGAAGACAGTCCAGAGAAAGCGAGTGGAGAGGAATACAGGCAAGGAGTCTGCTGACTGAGGTCCCTGCCCCCTCGTCAGAGCTGAGTGTGCTCCTCAGGAAGCCCAGGCCTGTAATTAGGGGCAGGGGGAGTTTGCCCTAACAGTTCAGGTCTTCTGGGGAGAGGGTGGTGAGGGCCAGCGGAGGGAACCAGTGGCAGCGGGGCTGGGCACCCGACTCACCAATCTTAGTTCCAGCCCAGGGTCTCCCCGGTTCAGCAACAAACTCGGCTTCGCAGCCTGCCTGCCCCTGCTGAGTGACCAGCCCTGGTGGCGTTGGCACCCTTGAGATCATGACCCCCAAAGACGGAGTTTGGGGCCTTACACTCAGGTGAAGGAGGAGACGTTTAACAGGCCAAGGGGGGAGAGAGGGCTGGTGGTCTTTCTGGGTTTGCTGCGCAGGGAGAAGGGCCCTGGCTCTGCTGCGGCTGCGTGGCGGGGTCTGACCCGGCGGTCTGTCGGGAGCCGGCATGCGGCCACGTCGCCCAGCCCGCGCAGAAGGGGGCCTCTGGCCAGATTCGCAGGGCGGGCCCCCCTGCTGCTCCCATACAATGGGGCCCTTGTTTCTCCTTGAACCAGTATTACCCGAGGTTGAGTGACAGCCCAGGAGAGGATGTGGGTCTCACGCAGGGAGCTGGAGTCTTCTCCGCCCGTTAAAGTCTTCACTGCGGGAGCCTAGCTCAGGAGTTTCCTGCCCCTGCACATGTGCTGAGTCCGAGCTTGTTTGTGTATTCGGGGCAGGGGCCAGGGGCCGGGGGCCGGGGGCCGGGGCCGTCCCGCGGGGCGGTTAAGCTCTACTGCTGGGTCAGGCCTCTCGGTTCTGGGTTCACCGTCATCCACTCTGGAGCCTGGTTTGGTTTTGGCTGCCTCTCCTTCAGCCCAGAGAATTTCCTCCACCGGCTGCTATGTGTCTCCTCTGAGCGGTGCCCCTCCAAGCTAAGGCTTTGAACAAAGAGTTGTAGGGAGTGGCTTGTGAACGTTTGAGGGCAGAGGTTGCACTCTCAGCCTGTGGAGACCTTTTCTGCGATGGTTTCTCACCTAAACCCCTGTCTCTCACGGGCTGGTACTCAGGACCCTTTCGTTTCCATTCAGGTTTTATACCTTCTCACTGATAGCCTGGCTTTAATATGGAATTAAATCATAGATATTTTTTAAAACTTGTATTTAAAATTTTTTCTTTTCCTTGCTATCAACTGTAAGTTGGTACATCATTGCTTTGTTTAGAGGGAAAAGAAATTAATGTTGCTTTTTACTTGTGGGGAGCGGTCGAGAGGCATCGCTTCCTGTGGAGGCAGCTTCGGGTGGAAGCGGGGCCGGCATTCACGAGGACCTGCGGCCCGGGCTCGGAGTGGCTGTGGCTCTGACTTAACTGGAGGAGCCTGGCTTCTGGAAAGCTATCCCCTAGAGCAGGGGCCGCAACTGCCCTATTAGTAACCTCCACAGCCACCCCTCTGTCCGGATTGCTCAGTCACACCCACCTCTAGATGTCACTGCTTTCCCAGCCCTGCCTTTCCCACTCACCCGCGGAAGACTCGGTCAGGGTTCCAATCTCTCCCAGGTATGGGCAAGGGAAGTCTAAGTTTCCTGTTTCCCTCCTCCCCAGAGATCTAAAGTCCTTTTCCTAGTGACCAGAACCCAGGGCTCGTTCCAGCCTCTCCCTTCACCTTCTTGCCTGGGGGTGCCTTCCCCTCCTCCAGACCCTCTGCCAACTTTCATCCTCCAGCAGAAATGGCAACTTGGGGCCATGGCAGGAGCTGTGGGGGCGGGCAGGCGTGCAGTTAGGGTGTACGCGAGTGGTGGGGCTCACGGGAGCAACTGTGGTCACGGAAGCCACAGGCCAACCACTTGCTGCCTGAGCAAGCCCCGGAGGCCTCACCCACACTGGGGGCGGCTGTAGGAACCACGCTGCAGGTGACCAAAAAGCACTGGGCTAGATTTCAAAGTACCCGGTGTGCAGTACTCTGGGATTCTCACGATGGTCCCAGGAGGGGAAAGGGCACGTTATCACTGAGCCCATGAGCCTGTTTTTCCGAGGGGAAGTCGGGTGAACTGTCTTTTCCCAAGAACCCACTCGTAACCTAAGTGTCGGGGTCAGGCCCCAAACTCTGATCATCTGCCCCAGGGCCCAGCTCTTTCCAACCCCAGGTCTTCGCTTGGGCAGCAAAGAGCACACAGGAGAACAGGAGACTTGGGGGCCTTTATTAGGGGCTGGCAGATGGGGCGGAGGTGGAGGTGACATCCCCAGGCCTGGGCCTAGGAACAGCAGAGCAGAGGGCCTTCAGAACAGGCACCCAGGCCCCCTTGCCTCCACCAGCAACCCCGCCCCCATCCCAGGTCCTTCCTCTAGCCTCCCCCTGCCTCTGGGACCACAGAGCACCAAGAACCGGCAAGCAAGCAGGACCCTCGGGGGCAGGGGCCGCAGCTTGCGGTGGAGCACAGGATCCCGGCTTCCGCCTCCCGCCAATCCGGGGAGTTCAATGCAACCTTCCCCACCAGGATAAAGCGGGGGCATTCCTTCTTTGCTCCCCGGAACAAACTCTTGTTTTCTGTGTTGGGCCTTTAAGCTGAGCCTGGGAAAAGGCCAGAGGTGAGACCCCCAGGAGTTCCTGAGACTCCACCTTTGCACGTGCGTTGTCTCCACTTTTCCTTCCCACGGACTTGGGTGAGCAGCTCAGAGCCAGTGGGGATTTGCTCCAAAGACATCTGTGGATTTCAGAGTGAGGGTTCCCCTAACACCGGACTCATCTATATGTACACAGGGCAGCAGGTGCCAAGGGGGCAGCTGCTAGGGGCTAGTAGGAGTAGCCACCCTTGGGGCCAAAGGGCTGGGTGGGGCCAGCCAGCTCTGGGAGGTAGGCGGGGCTCTCGTCCAAGTGGGACAAAGGAACTGTGTCCTCCTCACTGACTGGCCTGTCAAACTCGGCCTTGAGAGCTGGACGCTGATTGTCCGGGAAGGCCAGAGAGAAGAGGGCCTCGGGCTCGCACACAAACTTGTACACGTAACGCTCACCAGCCACCTGTGGGAAGAGAGGGGCTGGGTCAGTCTTCCTCTGCCCAGGTCACTGGAGGGCTGGGGGATGGGGCCAGGCAGGTGTGTGGGGTACAATTCTCTCCCATACTGGTTCCTCTAAGTAGCCACCTTCCTTTTCCTGTTCACCTCTAATCTCAATCTCTCCATGTGTTGGGTTCTCAGTTAAGATTGAGCACTCTTTTGGGACAGAGAAACCTTGGGGTTGTCTACAACTCATCCCTCCTGACTGCTTCATTACCTGCTCCTACAAACTCTCTGAGAATGCTCTTCTGTCCCCTGTCCCCATCACCTTTCCGCCTGCCCCACCCTCTTGTCCCTGAACCCTTAGCCCCTGACCTTCTGCATGATGCCTTTCTCATAATAGTATCGGAGTGAGCGGCTCAGTTTGTCGTAATTCATGGCCGGCCGGTTCTTCTGGATGCCCCAGAGCCTGGCGACCTGCGGGGAACAGGAGGGTTTCGGGATGGCGATGCTGGCTCAGCAGAGGAAAAACGGGGTGGGGGCAGGGCGGAAAGAACACTTGAGATTCTTAGTGCCAAATGCTGAGCTGGTCCTGCAAGGAGGCACCAGCCCACAGACCCAGGTTTGGTAAGAATTCAGGTTAGGTAAAGGACGGTAACGGTGAAGACACATATCCCACTGTCCACAGGCTCTCTCGTCTCCAGGCCCCAAAGCTGTGGGGAGCAGAGGGGGGGACATCCCAGAGGCCCACCTCCTCAGGCTCAATTAGTTTGAACTCCATCCCCCGGCCTGTCCAGGCGATGAAGTGAGCATTTGTTGGGTCATCCAGCAGGGCCACCAGAAACTGCCACAGCTGCAAGGCACCCCGGCGCTGGTAGGGCGGTCCCTCTCGGAATGCTCCAACCCCTTCCTGCTTGATGTCTCCTGGGGAACACGAGAAAAAGGGGTACAGGGTTTGCGCCTTCGGCTCCCCCAGGCAACCTTCCTCTCAGGGGCCTTTCCAGGCCCTTGGTCATGAAATGTCATGTGATTCCCAGGTGACCCAGCCAGAGGGCATGGATAAGACCCCTCTCATGAACAGTCACCTCTCTGACCTTCAAATTTCTCAGGGACGACACAGACATCATCTGGGAACGGTCGCACAGGTTTCTCATAGCCATAGCCTGGGGGAGGGAGTTGGGGGCCACTCAGGTCTGGGGCTTCACTGATGAGACCCCAGAGTGTCTACAGGGACTCCTGGCCAGGAGACCCTCCCCCATGGCAGAACTCCCTCTCCCGGCTTGGAGGGCTCGGGGCGAGGACAGGGCCGCCTTACCCAAGGTCCCGTCGCCCGGAGAGGGCCCAGGAAAACCCTCTGGGTGAAGGTACATTGAGGCACACCCAGGGACATCTGGGGGTAGAGAAAGAAGGGTGGCGTTACGGGTGGCTGGGGTGGAGATGGGGGCAGCAGGCTACACACATGTAAGAACTTGCTGCCAGCCTGCTTTCTGGTCCTGTTCCTGGCTGCCTGCCTGCCAGCGGTCCCACGGGAAGTCCACCCCGAGTGGGTGTGAGGCTGGAACCCCTCAGTTTGGGGGCTGGGGCCAGGTAAAGCTGTTCCACAAGGCCCAGGATTCCAGGGAGCAGCTGTTTCCTGTGAGTTTAAGGGGAGGAGGGAGGGATAGAGATGAACCTCCGGGGAAAGGGTTCAGTGTCCGGGGCTAAGACTCCCTTGGAATGGGCTAATCTCCGGTCAGCAGGTCAGATTCCCTGCCCAGTATGTGTGTGAGGGAGGGGTGAATGGAGGAGAGGAGGGTGAGGAGGGTGAGAGAGTGGGGAGGGAAAGAGACTGCATGTATCTGTATCCGGGGAAGAGGCAGCGCGCACCGGCCGGAGTTTTTTTCGAGTCTTACAGCAGAGCACATTCCACTCCATTTCATTCCATTCCATAGGACTGAAACCTCCCCAATCCACCTGGAGGAAGTTGCTAGTGTGAAGCCACCCCTTCAAGTTCCAGCCCCTTTGGCCCTACCCCCTCCACTCCCACCTATGAATGAGATGGTGAAACCTGACACCTCCGGGAGGAGGCAGGAGGGTGGGCTCATTCATGCAACCATTTTGTGAATGGAATTCCTGACTCCATTCAGAGGAAGCTGAAGGGGGAGGGGCAGGAGTTCAAGGGCATGTAACATGATCTCCTCCGGTCTACAGCCTTTGAAGGTCAGCAGCAAGAGCGTCTCCCTCCTCTTTCCTGCATCTCACCGCCAGGCATGGCTCAGACTTATGCCTGGGGTTGAGGAGAGGTGCACCCTTCTGGTTCTCACTCGGGTGGGTAGCCTAAGGGTTTGTGGTTCATTCCCCTGCCCCTAAAATGACTGGGCATCAAAAAAAGGGAAATTCGAAAGCTCTGGCCAGCTCTGAGACTACTCGAATAGCTGAATTTATTTTTCTCATGCAAGTTTGCATAGAAGCTCAAATGTGGGGATGCTAACAATGTAACAAGCCAAGGTTTTCTGGACTCTTCCCGAGAACGCCCTCCCTCTGCATTTGGGGCTTTAAAGTACAGCTATTTGTGAATATGGCTGAACGCATCCCACTCAGGTCAACACCAGGTGGAACTAGAATTTACAGCAGTCCCTACTTCCGGTGTCCAGCTCCGGCCAGGAGGGCGGGTCATCCATCAACGGTTGCG